ATGATGTTCTTCACTTCTTGGAGCTTAACGACAATAACATATATTGTATCATTATTTTCTGGTCTTATGTAACAATACCTTTCTAAAACACCTAAAAACCAATCTAATCGGAATTTTATAATGTCAAACTGGTCATTTCTGTAGCTTTGGCTTTCCAACAGCGAGATTATGTCCAGCAAAAAACGCTTTCCGTAAACTTTGAGTGCCTCCATTTTTAATTCAAAATCGCAAGGGCTTGGGAACTAGTTTTGTACGGGAGACCGCTGACCAGCGCATATGTAACATAGCCCGTTGAAGTGTCATAGCCCATAGAACAGGCAACATAGCCCGTTGAAGTGACAACATAGCCCGATGAGGTAACAACCTAACCCGTTGAAGTGACAACATAGCCCATTGAGGTGACAACATTGCCCGATGAAGTGACAAGTTAGCCCGATGAAGTGAACAACCGATAATCATTATATTTTTGAGCCTGTCCACCCTTCATAACCTGGGGCGATGTTTTGAGCGGCGTAAGCTCGGTTACCGAGTTTGAAGTCCGAAGGTTGTATCGGAAGTGCCGAACTTGTGTTCGGTTGTTTCGATTTTCCATGACAGCTTCATTATAAAGTGGGTGGATTTGTGGCAATTCATTTTATTTCCTATGAATTAGTTCAAGTTATGGAACTAGAGAATATTGTGGCAAACACTGTGTACATCAAAGCCAGAGAAAGTAAGTTTTCACAAGGATATTTTGCCATTGCATTCGCGCCAGCACTGACCGACCGAGTGAGCTTTGCTCGAACGTCGACCACATAGACAGGGAAAATCTCGAAAGGAAATAGTCCAAATTGCTTAGTTTGCTGGCATCATTCTCATTATTACCTTCAAATCAATAAGCATATCATTGCCTTTAACACTACAGGTAAAAATAAAGGAAGAAGCAAAAAATGGAAAGAACTTTTGAAGTTTCCACACTACACCCTGGTAAACGAAGTGCTCAGGAGGGAATGTACGTAAGCAAAGTGTAACCTGAATTTTCTTGTGAATGTTGGAATTTTTGCTTTCTTCTTGTATACTATGGATCGTATGTGGCTTTTTATTCCTTGTTAAACTACGCTAACTTGCAGTTTTTGTCGCATTACATAGTGGCTCCCGATTACGATAGGAACTGTGAGAAAGAGCCGATTGGAAAGGAGCTTTTTCGAATTTTCTGCGATACAAATCCCAAGTTCAAAGAAGCTATAGATTTCCTTGACTCAGTCGTAAGTACCTGATTTAGTTTTTACCAAATGCTCAATTACTATGCTGTGAGAGAATCGCGGGCTTGGGTTTATCTTTGCATGAGTGGAAATATCACTGATATATGTCATATATATGTAATAGGATAAATTCAGCAAAGCGGAGGCCTCTAGTCGGCCCGAGAACGCAAGGGAGATCGTACGACTTTATCTTCGACCGGTGAGTTGTGAGCATAATTTATACATCATCGCTTTTGTTATTTGAATAGATTACTGTTGAATCCCTGGGCGAGAATCCATTCTTAGCTTTCATTATAATGTTGTTCGTTCAAATGACGCTAAATGAGGAATTTGATTTACAAACTTCGATATATGATCGAATACTAAATGATTCCGAGGTCAGTAGCTAGTCATTTTGGTGACCCAGAGATCGAAGCCGCAAGGTACCGTGTACAGTCGTTAGGTAGTCTGCCCAACATAGCAATAATATTAAAAAGAATTGTACGCGTCGATGACAAAGATCCCTGTGTTCTGTTGCTCAGACATGAAAGCTCATTTTACAATGTAACACCTCTCACGATTAATTTCGTGGGAATTTCAAAAACTGTTTCTACAATGTGATATCCAGATGATGTTTCTCGATCGGACAAACATTCAAGCCGTGTTTCCTACAAAAGGCTCAATTAATACAATTCAAAACAAAACCCATAGAAATCACTCTGCTCTTGTTAGCACTTCACTGGTGATGTTCGGCCTTGTAAAGGCGACATCTGAAAAATTGCTCTATCTGTGAAGACAATCGCCCGCCCAGGTCTGTCTTGTGTAAATTTCATATCGGTGGACGCTCTTTTTCACTGAATGTTTACATTTCAATGCTTCGCAACACATACAGCGACATTATCTTTGGGCAAGCTGTAATAAGGGCTTTTAAACAACTAAAAAAAAAATACTGGTTTGAAAGTGAAATTTATGGTCGCCTGACGATTTTAAGATGGTGCTGACAATTTAACTCTGATCCGAGTGTTACAAATAGAGCGATTATACCCAAATCATCTAGTGCAAAATTTTCTTGTTTTCGCACTGTCTTTTCCCGATAAATAAATTAAATGCTTGTATAATTATTAAGGGATTTTTTTGCTATGGGGAGTGATTTCACCATTTGTTCGAAAGAAATATTGTGTGTTTTATAAAATATGTAGTGGTCAGTTCATTTGTTCACGAAAAGATATGGAAACTGCATGATATCTAAAATAATTATTTCACGTCACATGTACATATTCGATTAAACGCGTGAAAATTAAAACTGCTTTATCGAAAATCTGTATGCATAATTTACTTGAAAATACTAGTAGAGCAGTCTGCAGAAATTTACAGTTACAATGGAATTGTTTGTCTTAATACTAAGCTTATAATCTCCGCATTACTTGACACATCACAACCATCGCTAATGATCCACAGTTTTGAGAAGTAATTATGATTGTTTGCCGTAGTTACTGTGAAGTTATTTCCTTAATGACAGTTTGTCTAAGTGCAATAGATATGGCTGCAGACTTTGTGTTCTAGCTCAAGTGCTTTGGATTACTAGTGTAACAGCTACTGCAAAAATGTGCAGCAACAATATTAACATAGCTAGATAAAATTTATCTTAGTTCTTATATAATAAACTACTTGTAAACCATTGTACATTTTATATGTCTGCAGGCAAAATAGCAAGGCTTTATACACTACAGTATTATGTACAATTATGTATGTCACAAGTTAGCAACAAAAGTCTTTATCTGTCTCTGTGGAGCTATATTCAATAATAATTGTACTTGCAAATTTATGATTGATTCTCATGGTATGTTCTTGTATTTACAACTTTCAGTGTCATTGTTATGTATTTATATTTTTTTCAAAAGACATAGTCAAGGAGCATGTTCTGACAAGCACATAATAGAGAGTGGCTGGTAATTTTCTTGTTTTTTACTGGTTACATAAACATATAAAAAAATAAATAAAAGAAAGGAAAAAAAAAGAGAGACAACTGAAAATAAAGATTGAGATAAAACACACGACGGAGGTATGTACACCTATTATTTATCACAGCTGTTGACCAATCAGAATTTGAGAAAAGTGTACAATTGTCCTTGATATACTAATATTTTGTCGTACAGCACTTGTTTTACTCAATATTATTTAGCTCATTTCTCCAAACGAGACTAAACAAATACACTTATTTGTCAGTGGTTTAATATTATTCTTGTTAACTGACTTAAATTATTAATGGTTTACTTTAAGTAGATTCATAATTCACACTGGCATTATATTAACCTTTTTTTAACATTAAACTCTCATTTCCTCTATAGCAGAAGTGCCAGTGATCTAGCAAAAAAATCATCATGAAGGAGACAAATTGTCTTTAGCAACTATAACTCAATATTGTGGATTAAATCTTTAACTGTTAAATAAAGCTAAATGTTTTGCAGTTACAGTGTGAAGAAAAGGAAAAGGAAAAATAAAACTAATAAAAAGAGATATAAACAGCAGTGTCTAGGAGTTGACAGCCATATTTACATTATGTTGACCACTATACTTTTTAGTTGATAACGAATTAAGTTATTGCTAAGCTCTGTTGGTTTCCTTAATGAAGCTAAAGATGAGACTAAGTTGTCATAATATGTAGAATGTAATTACATGTATAGCATATATTTCACTCTCATTTGTATGTCCATTAAGCGGGCTCCCTGTGGCTCAACGCCTTCTGGGGTTTCAATTTAAAATTCAAATGATCACAGACATGAATGACAGCTCAGTGCGCTTTTTTTGACAATAGTTTGTGGAAGGAAGTCTTAGGCATTTCCTAGTTAAAAGCTTATAAAATATGTTAAGAAAGGGATAAAAAAAACCTCACTTAAATTTGATGCAAATTCTTGATGGATATATTTAAACCAAGTGTGAATGTGAGTGCTCTAGCTGATGAGCATTGATGGCGAGTGTGATTGTGACTGTTATGTGTCAGTCAAAAGTTAAAGTAAGAGTTCTGAGTGTTCATGAAGGAAAAATAATGCTTTTACTAAATAATTTAAGCAATATTGTGCTTAATGTCCTTTCATATGTAGAAATTAATGAGCTGAAGTCCTTTCAAACTACAGCTGGAAAATAGCCATAGCTATATATTAAAAGATAATAACAATTATTATAATAAATACAATTTTATAATACTATAGTAATAATAAAAAAATGTTCATTACTATTTTTTTTTCAATGAATTACATGTAAAGTCTCATTAGTTCAAAGCTGTGACAAATTTCCTAAGTGTCTTCGTCATGGCATCCATGTCTTTATCATGTTAACTAAACTGTGAGCTCTCTTGGTAAGCTTTGACAGTTATTAAGGCATTAATTGACAATTACTGACCTAACAAGTGTTACAGTGTAATTGATACACTTATGTGGGCCACATTACTAGCAAGTCCCTGATACCATCATAGCCACCATCTCATGATATCAGCATGGATTTGGTGCTTTTTTCTAAGCTATATCAATCCTTTGAAGCCCCAAATTATTGAATATTATTTTATCATATAATTATCTATTAGGCTCACTTGTGAGCGATATTTTCAGACCGTAGAAGATAAAATTCCTATCTCCCTGTGCTCATGTAATATTCTCTATATGTAATGTACATTCAATAATTTTTCTAGAAGAAATTTTCCACTCTTTGGGACAAGTTTCATTTGTCTCATTTCAATTTTAATTTTTAACAGATATGAGACATTTGATATTCTATTAAGTTTTTTTTCAAATATATGAATTTCAAAATGTTGACTTTTTCTAATGTATCAGGGCTGACATTGATTTTTTTTTCAGAAAAAGGCATTTTTATCGGCTGAGATTTTGAATTTTTTTTAACCAGCTTCTATAAGCAAAAATAATCACATAAAGTTATAGATTTATGATTAGTCCATCACTTTTCAATTCTATTGTGGTTCTGAAAAGAGCAGTTTTGTACACACCTATAATTAAATTGTATTGATTGATTGCATAACTCCTGCTCATCTTTTACCCATTAGTGCACAGAAATAGGCCATTCTTGAATACACAGTTTACTTTTGGTCAGCATATGATATGTTACTATGAGCTATAAGTTGATTGATTGAACTATTAGGCCTGTCATAATTGACAAACATTGATGCACAACAATTGTGAAAGTGTTTTAAAATTCTAAGTAGGAAATATTTAATTAGGTCTGTCAACTCTACTGAATATTCCAGGAGTCTGAAGAGTTTGGATAGTACATTACATGTATCTCCTGGTACGTGTTAAGTTTGCCACATAGAATATCCAGTTTTTTTTTTTTAAATGACAAAATTTTCATGTTTTTAAAATTTTTGATGAAAGAAAATGAACTGATTTCTGCATGAATTATCGCTTCTCTCTGCAATTTTATTTTATTTTATGATTATTATTTATTTTTTGTGACTTGAAACTTGTAAAATCTAAACAAAAGGCAGATTTATGAATCTCAAGGTATGAATTGCCTAGGGTTTGACAGCCCTATTCGACTAGAATTGTAATATATAGGTAACATTTGACCACCATTGGCTTGTTCAAAGATAGAGAAATAATGGAAAGTTATAGTGCTTAGAAGGTGGTTATACCTGGAGAAAGACCCTTGGAAATAAATAAAAAAAAAAAAAATTCCTATCTTGCTGGGATTCATTCAAAGATATTCAAGATATATTAAACAAAAGGTAATCTTTATATCTAAAGAAAAAGTATTCATCTAACCATTGAGTCAAATTAAATGATTCTGTTTTGAGCATAATAGATTATGTGGTTTTAAGAATCTGGAATCTCATCTGTTAATCAGCTGTTACCATAGTAATCTAAAACTGTCTGTTAAATAATTTTAATTATTAAAGAGACACGTTTAGGTGTTTCTGTCTGGTCATATGCAAATATACATGTACATGTAAATGTTCTATACTCCATTCATTTAATTTTGAAGTTTTTGCCTGACTTACAAACTTTGTTGTGAGCTTCACTCACGTGTTACTGACATACATGTGTATTCAAAACTCAAATATCTGCCTATATCTCTTGAAATATCACCCCAACTTTTATCTTAGATGCACATTATTTTATTATAATTATTCTAGTATATAGCAGTTTTAGTAGAAATAAGACAGTGTACATGTCTATTAAAAAAATCAGAGTTTGCTGAATTTTGAAACTGACACAATAGTAGAAATCAGAAGAAGTTTTGTATGAATTTTATGAAAAACTTCACAACTACTTGTGAACATTAACACCCATAAATTTAGTAGACAATGTTTTATGAATTGAACTGCACTGTAATTATAAAGCAAAGTCTAAACTTGATTATTTTCTATTGTTTTTACCTTCTGGATGTTAAATTATTCATATCACCATATTGTTTATAGAGCAAAAAATTATTACATCAAAAACAGACAATGTTTCCTGTTGAATTAGATTGAACCTGGGCTAATGATACATGTATTCCAATATCAACTTGTATCTCCATGATGCAGTGGAAAGCTGTATTGTTTTGGTGAAAAAGTAACTTATGCCATAGACCACTTTCATAAGTGCCTACCATCAATTTCATACAATTGACGAAATATTTATGGAAATATTCAACACTGTCGTATGGAAGAACTATCTGAAATAGGCATTCATGGAAAGTTTTGAAGCTATGCCATACTCTAACTAAGTTACAAACTAAGTTACAAAGGAATAAAAGTACAAGGATTTGTATGGAATTCTTGGCTGAGGCCTTGGTGTCCTTGTTTTTATTTTTGTGCATCTTCTTATAACTTTAATATTTTTCCGTGAAACTTTCAGAAATTATCTTTTATAGCTTTGATATCTATCAACTGAGTGTTTTTTTTTTTTTGAATAAGCGACAATATGGTAATTAGTGTCGGCCATTATGAAAGTCGTCAATTAAAAATCAAAATAGTTAACATTATTTTCCATTCATCATTAAAGGAAGCTTAATTAAGCTCTTAATTCCCTTGTTTTCCACTGTTATTATTTTTTGACATGCAGTAGTACAAGGCAGTGATGTTTTATGTGACATTTTATTTTTTTCGATCTAATACTATGCAGAGCTGCCGGCTCTCATACTTTTCAATCTGGAGATTTGTGGAAAGTATGCTCCTAGTTTAACATTTATGTAATTGATATGCATTCTACTTAATCCACAGCCCAATGGAGTAGACAACGAAGAGCAGCCAGCAGGTCGTGTAGCTGGTGTTCTGGATGATACAGCTGAGATTGCCTACAGTGTTGTGTCACGTTCTGCAGATGAAGAGTTTGCAAGTAATTTGTTTAATGATGCTGTCAGGTAATTAGCCTATATAAAGCCTGGTCTTTACTACGACTTAAACCTAGCCCAATGCTAAGCGTAAGCCTAAATAACCTAAAGTTAATACCAAATGTTGTGTGAAAATGAAACACAAGAGGAATCCTAGTGCCAGGCCTTTTACAATGTGTTTTAAGGACCAACACTCGCACTGGTATTTTCATTGGCCGAGACACTGAGTCTGCGTTTGTGTTTGTTTTCACTGACATAGCACCGAAGTGAAAGCAAACGCAGCCCCAAACTTAAGCGAAAAGAAAAATCATTTTTAATTCTTGTGTTTCGGTTTGCATTCAAGTTTTGGGCTTGCATTGGGTCGGTTTGAGATTAATGATTAACCCAAGTATTGAAAGTTATAATTTTTTTTTCATTGTATTTTTTCAATGTTAAATGCAGTTTATTCAATTGTTCTAAATAAAAATTGATGTTTGATACCTCAATAATATTTCTTTAGGGAAGTCAAGGATTATCTTGCTGAAGAACCTTTTAAACTATACCTAGAATCTATGTATTATTCCCGTTACCTACAATGGAAATGGCTTGAAAGGTAAGCTGTTTTTGATAGGCAAACAGACAGACAGATATTAAAATGTAAATTTATAATTACGTACGTTATGGAGTTTTCAAGCTCAAAACAGGTGATAGCTGTCTTATTCAGGAACAAACCTTCTTGCATAAAGAGCGTAATATCAAACAAAAGCTAGCATAAAAGCACAATAAGAGAAAATAAAAGTGGTTTTAAAGAATTCCAGCAACACTGTAACTCCTTCTTTACATTGTACATTAAGAGCTTCCTGACATGTTGGCCGTTTTTGGGTACAGTGGCTCAATTTTAGAAGGAAATTCAAATAATTCATTTTTTCATTTTTTTTCATTCATTTTTTTCAGAATCAAAGTTACAAAGAAGACATTCCGACATTATAGAGTCTTGGGAAAAGGGGGTTTTGGGGAGGTAAGAGTGCACTTTCTTTAATGTATGTGAATTACATTACAAAGTACTCCCTTAGAATAATCTAAGATTATAATAGTTTCTTTCACAGTTCCCTGCCCCATCTTGAAAGGTAGCCATGCCTTTGCATTGAAGAAAGACAACCGTTGAGCATGCAATGATAGATACCTATGAATAATTGTCTGTAGGTGTGAAAGAAGGTTTCTATTATCGCACGCTCAACAATTGTCCTGCTTGGATGCGGCATTACAGCTACCTTTCAATGTGGCGCAGGGAAGGCGAACAAGACCAATACCAAAATCATTGAAATTCTCAATATATATATTTTTTGATTTGTGCAATAAACCCCTGCTGGCCAGCTCTTTCAGTGTTAAGAGAAGATTTCAAGTTGATATTTTTGGAAGTGTAGAAAACTAGTCCTACCTACAATTATGATTATACAATGTAAGATGCAACTGTTCCAACTAACGTATTTGTTCCAACTAATGGTACTTGATGCTCTTCTGGCAGGCTCTGAATATCACATCTTTCTTATAAGAACAAGGATAATTTTCTTTCCAATTTTTTTCTCTGAAACTCTCCACAGTTTGGGCTGCCTGTGTAAAACCAAAGATACTGGACACAAAAAGTCTATACTACTTGTAACGTTGACTAACCTTGTACATATAGGAGTTTATACAAAAAAGGACTATTGTTTTCTAGGTATGTGCTTGTCAAAGTAAAATTAGTGGGAAAATGTATGCCATGAAAAAGTTGGAGAAGAAGAGGATCAAGAGGCGGAAGGGTGAAGCTATGGCTTTGAATGAGAAAACTTTACTAGAGAAAATTGATAGCAGATTTGTGGTAAGGCAGAAGCTTCTAAATTTCATAGTTTCATAGTGAGAAAATTGATAATATGAAATCCATGCCTGCCGCCATATTACAGGCACTTTGTTAGTGACAAGTCACAGACAGACAGACAAACTAACAGGTGGACACCTTTAAATATGCCATTGCTGCTTTTATGTGGCCACTAGACTCTATAATATTTATTTTTAGTAGACATCAATATGTCATAAAGGGACATGGTCCACCAGCATTCAATGCGGTCGTGTTTTTGATTTTTCATATATGGAAAATGAGGTGACTTCGAATATCCATTCGCAATCCCTTTCCATCCATGGTTTTTAAAAAGATCGAATCGTACAGTATCTCCTTTTATATAGTATAAAGGAATAATAAAGAGTAAGTTTTTGCTTATATTACGATGTATTTTTATTTTCAAAATAATTTTAAATTTTTTCAATTATTTTTTTATTTTTGAGTTAAAGCTCGAAAGGGATGCTGGTGGACCATGTCCCTTTAAGAACAATTTCCTTTGAGATTCAATATTTTTAATATTTTTTTCAGGTTAGTCTTGCCTATGCCTACGAGACAAAGGATGCTTTATGCATGGTCTTAACATTGATGAATGGTGGGGATTTGAAGTTCCATATTCATAACATGGGAAATCCAGGCTTTGAGGAGGAACGAGCTGTGTTTYATGCTGCAGAAGTTACTCTTGGCTTAATCCATCTTCACTCACAAAGAATAGTCTACAGGTAATTTAGAAGGAGCCGACGGGTTCCTGGGAGAAATATATATCTTATCTTATGTTCCAGCCAGCTGTAAGTCACAATTAGTTGTTGGCGAGAAATTCAGGAAAAAAAGAACTCTACAGGCAAGAAATACTTCCTAAGAATTTTTGCCAGGAAAATAAACATTTCCTATTAAAAAAAAATATCTTTTTGGACCTTAAAAACGTTTGCCTAGAACAAAATTATCATTAAAGAAGGAGGTACATTTGCTTGTGAGGTTGTCAAAAACGTAGCTCAAAATCCCAGTTTTAGAAGAACAGATCCCGTCGGCTCCTCCTGTTACTTAAACATCTATTATAAATCCATACGACTATTTTTTGATCAGTTATATAATGACAAAAACTTCTAAATGCTGCTAATCTAAATGTGGTTTTCTTTTTATGTGAGATTTTTATCTTCGTTTTGACTAGATATGAGGTTTTTCATTTATCAAAGACCACATTGCAGCTTTTTTCAGTCGTTTCATAGTTACAGTGCTTGTTACAGCTAGCCAATCAATAGCCGATTAGCGAAAATTTCACTCCAGTTGTCAAACGCAAAAGAAATAAGACGAGGCGCCGTGCTAAAAGCTCAGTCAATCGTGAAAAACTTATTTGTCTTTCCACGAATGACTGAGCTTTATGCACGGCGCCTCGTCTTGATTCCTTTGTGTGTGACTACCGAGGCAAATTGGCAAGTCGGCTATTAATCTCATATTATCGATATAGTATGGTTGCCATGGTCACTCTGAGACAATCCTTTTACGACGAAGATTTATGAATTTTGCTATTGTAATAAGTTATCTTCGTTACTCAATGTTTTCTGAATACATTGTAGCTGTATGCATGTATTGTTACATTATATGATAGCATTGTACATAAAATCTCTGAAGACATTATGCTTTAAATCTTACTTTATTGGTTCCAAGCATGTGAATTAATTTGGCATTAACGTGATGCGTATCTCATACAGAATTTGATAATGCGAATTCCCATTGAATCTAATGATATTATCAGTAATAGTATTGCTTCGTATTTCTTTAAGCCATTCTCACTCATATCATTTTCTATTGTTTTTCAACAGGGACTTAAAGCCTGAAAATCTACTTCTTGACGATGATGGTCACGTTAGGATTTCTGACTTAGGGTTAGCTGTTCAAATACGCAACGGTGAAACAATTAGAGGAAGAGTTGGGACTATAGGATATATGGGTAAGGCTATTAGCATGTGTTGTAGCCTGCGTTGTTGTCGATCTGCGGTTTTAGGTGCGGCCTCGCAATGCCTGTTGCCGCAAGAACTACGGAATACGGACGGAATTGTTTGATTAGTTTAGAAGGTTTAGCTGTCATCATACGGCTTTCAGTGGTTATTATTGTAAAAACAAAMAAACAAACAAAAACAGGAACAACAACAGCAGCAACAGCAACACCGTAAAATCGAAAATTTCCAGCGTCGCCATTTTGTTGAAAAAAAGTTGTTTAATGCAGTGATCGCGTTTATAATGTCGTTAAGAAACTTTTCAAAATTTATATTCGTGCTTTATTTGCAATAATGCAAGTAATTGTGCCCTTTCTCTATACTAACACAACAACAACAAATTTTGGGAATTTTTTAGAAAACGTAAAACGGCGCTAAAAGAATTCATTCCCGTCATGCTTTGCTGTACAACATGGCGTCTCTGAGCATCGCTTATTAAGTACAACATTGGTAGTAATTGTCTCTGCTATTATTTCATTTAATCTATTTTCGTTCATAATTTAGCTCCAGAGGTGGTCAAAAATGAAAGGTACACATTCTCTCCAGATTGGTGGGGACTGGGATGTCTTATTTACGAAATGATTCAAGGAAAGGTGAGCTTAGTTGTTTACTAACCGAAATTACCCTTTGTTGAATGCACTTCGAGCGGCAATTCGCATGAATTGAAGAGAAAATACAACAATCCCATTTTGAATTACATATTAAAGGGATACGTTGTACGCCGAGGAGTAGCAAAAGTTTCAGGATAGTCCGGTTTCTGGGAAAATTTGGTTTGGTTTTATTTAGAAAGGAAGGGATGGCCGTTGCGGTAAATATTCAGAGGTCTTACCGATTACTACAGTCCGGTTACGACAGGATGATACATTGTTTCTGAAACTGAAATCAATAATTGTCGAAAATGAAACGGCAGAGCATTCAGGATATTTCAAATTTAATAATTATTGAATGTTTTTATCGACATGCGCTGTAAGTTTAAAATTACGTAATAATGATGCTTGATTGGCTGATAGCCTTTTTAATTTTTAATCAAGATGTCTTTATATGGTTTGTAGTCTCCCTTTCGAGCTCGAAAAGAGAAAGTGAAAAGAGAGGAGGTGGAAAGAAGAGTCAAAGAAGATACTGAAGCATACTCGGAGAAATTCAGTGCCTATGGAAGGCTTATATGCTCACAGGTAGGTTACATTAGACTTTCTACCTAAAACGGACTTAAATTTATTATATGTTTAACAGTGTTTTACCAGAAACTAAAACACTTGTATTTTCCATACTTTCACTGGTGAAGATTATGTACCAATATGTCCCGGATGTACGCGCGCGCCAAGCTAAAATAACTCAGTTCCCGCTCATTTCTACCTGTTGCTATAGTTTGTCCATACAATAAAAAGAACATTACAAGTTAGCTTGAAGATATGAATTTTATTTTCTCGTGTTAAAAACAAAAAATAAAAGAGAGAGAACTTTTCTGAAATACAACTATCATGGTGCGTTGAGGTGTAGCTTCAGTACAAACAACGCCATATTTGGCAGCATGAGCAAACGATGTGTGAACAGAATCTAGACCACAACGCATTGCAAACTGTTATTTCAGAAAAGACCTAGGAAAGGCAAGCAATAGGGGACTTAATCGAACTTCATCATAGCACCAGTACGGAGCTCGCGCTTGAGCCGTCAAAGTGCCATTATATGATGCAACCAAATTCGACCTAAACTTACAAATGCTATTGTAAAGGCGCTGCCTTTGCCCATTCAACATCGACTCTCTTGTTTTTTGCCACAGTGGCTTCCTTCAAACGAATTCGCGGATTTGGTTGTGTTTTTCCTTATTGATTGAACAATTTCGTTTTGTCTAATTTCAGACATTACAAAAAGATCCATCAAATAGATTAGCTTGTAAAGGAGACGACATCAAGAAACACCCGTTTTTTAGAAACATCAACTGGTCACAACTTGAAGCGGGCTGTACGCCTCCACCTTTCACCCCTGATGTAAGTAGCCAATTGAAATAGACTACGATTATCATATAGTACGTTTGCTCTGATTGGACTATAAACTAACATACTTCGTTAACCAATCAGTGAACTGCTAGCATTCCCGGTGCGTGCGCGCACGTCAAGTTTGTGTATTTTTCCCACTTTTTTATATTTTTACTGATATAAGTAGAAATTAAAAATATAGGATATTTCTTAAATGATTCTGTGTCTTATTGACCTATCAAGACATGATTACCAACGCCGTCAAATGCGTCTTCATGCTTTTTGAAAGCATCTTTGTAAGGTAGTGTTTATAAACATTTCTGTGGACTGTAATTATGAGTACAAAGAAGCGAGCCTGAAGCGATGGACTCACAAATGCAAGGAATTAGGACACAGTTGGAGTGCACCTTGATATTTGCTCGAGTTACCGGGTGGTCGAACAAAATGAGCTCCTGTGACTTAGTTTAATATTCCGTTTGACGAAATTTTTCATAAATGAAGCAGAAATACGTGTATAACAACAAAACTCTCTTCTGCTTCTTTAAAATAGAATTAAACTATCAAATGTTTAGAAACATATCGATTAAAAAAACCCCTCTGTTTTGTATCTAGTGGCGTCCTTCAGGATTGTTGAAAAAATTGCGGTTATAAATACGCGTGTTTCGTAGTAATTATCAATTTGAATATACTTTGAAATCATACATTTTAATATATTTGTACAGATATCCGCTTCTTTCATGTAGCGATTACAATAACAAAAAAGCGAGCACTTTAACGAGACAGCACTTTAAACCTCGACCAATATCAACAGATCGTCGAATCAAAGTCAATGTTAGTAAAGTCAAATAGATCATCTACTTGACTTCCTTAAGGTCTAAGGTCTAGCACCTCGTCATCATAAGCTTTTGCCCTTGTTGTTTGATTGTTGCTCATCTACGCACACTTCTGGATATTTTTCCCCCTATTTTCTAAATACTAACGCGTCCACATTGTCCAAAGCATATGCAAGCACGTTTATGTACATCAGTTCTTTGAACGCAACTAGTTTTTGTTTCCGTTTTCTACCCTCTAAGGCTTTTTGCCATTTTCGTCCCGAATTTATGTGTGGGTGCGTTTAAAGTTGTATTGTAAATCAGTCCCAAACTAGACGCTAACGTACCGTGATGTCGGGCTAGCTAGCGTATTATTGTACGTGTTGTGATAAAAAGGAACTGTGTTGTGATAAAATGAACATTCACTTGAATTTGCAATGTGTCGAGTGATTGAAACCACATTTATTAACACAGCAATGAAATAATAGCCGATTTGCGAATTTCAAGAATCCAAGACGAGGCGCCGTGCGTAAAGCTCAGTCAGTATCGTGAAAAACTATTGTCTTTTCACGAACGACTGAGATTTATGCACGGCGCCTCGCCTCGTCAAAAATTGTCAAATGTTGTTTGCATGCTAAAATCATTTACAAACTAGAGCAAAGTTTCTTCCATTTTATCTTCACTTTAGCCAAGAGCAGTTTATTGCAGAGATGTTTTAGATATTGAACAATTCTCCTCTGTCAAAGGCGTCAGGCTGGACGAGAGCGACGAAGAATTCTATAGGAGATTTGCTTCTGGGAGCGTGTCGATCCCTTGGCAAAATGAGGTACTTGTGTCTTAGATCGACTAAGAAATGCTTTTCAGAAAGCTACTGATCAAATTGTTTCATTATTATTAGTACTACCAACAACTAATAAAGCGCAAACAGTAAAGCGTGAAAAAGTACTAACAAATTCGCGCAATATAGTGATATTAGACCATAGAAAACAAAGGAACTCGGAGTCAATTAACCCGTGAAAGAGATTTTACAATGATAATACACCTCAGTACGCTCTAATTTCATTATTTTCTTTTCTGTGTAATTGACAATCACACTTTATCAGGTATTTTTGTTTCACGGGCTTAGGGTGACTTAAAAAACCTGTATTACACTAGCACACCTTAGTATTTTCTAATTGCATCGTTTTCTTTTGTGCGTCTATTTGACAATCACACTTTTATCGGGTAACTTTTGTTTCACGGGTTTAGGGTGACTCCAAAAACCCGTATTACACTAGCACACCTTAGTATTCTCTAATTGCATCGTTTTCTTTTGTGCGTCTTTTTGTCAATCACACTTTTATCGGGCAACTTTTGTTTCACGGATTTAGGGTGACTCCTAAAACCCGTATTACACTAGCACACCTTAGTATTCTCTGATTGCATCGTTTTCTTTTGTGCGTCTTTTTGTCAATCACACTTTTATCGGGTAACTTTTGTTTCACGGGTTTGATGACTTCATTTTAGTGTTTGCAGTCTATCTAACGTGATCAGTACATTTTATCTATAGTTATTATGTATAATATGCATATATGATTGCCCATCTTTATCTTGTTGTCATGCTTTTCTTCTATTTCTATCAAATGCAGTTTGCTGTGTTTCCTTTGTCTTGTGGATTATGTCGCCTTATACCGGTTATCGGTCAAAATGCTGAGGATAGTCTGTATGAGTCCTCATAGTAAATTAGAGCAATTGTTTTCTAAAAGAATTATTTTTACTTTTCTGCAGATGATTGAAATGGGATGTTTTAGCGAACTAAATATTTTAACTGGTCCAGACGGAGAACCAACGTCTGACTTGACAGGAACAGCACCACCCCCTCCCCCTGAAAAATCATCATGTACCTGTTCGTGTTTTGGAGATGATGTAAGTTACAACTTTGTTCTTTCGTTTTTCTGTCTGTTATATAAACGTTGTTTAGTCAATCAGTACTTGATCAGAAAATTGACTTTTTGATTATGTATTGATCGTTTTCAATCATTTCTGATGAGATTCAAGAGACAAAAGACCGGCGGCCATGTTGGAGGAATGAACAATAGATACTAAGGAGAAAGTATTTGTTGAAGTACATCCAAGATGGCCGCTGTTACGTATATTGAAGGGAAAAAATTGACGCTTTCTCTTTATCTATCTATATTATCTAGTGGATTGATACAGCTGTTTGCAATAATTCTGACCCCCTCTGCCATATTTCATATATATCAAACTGAGCTTTAATATTATGGGATATCATGACTGATATATTTTTTGAGTAGTCCAGAATGAGTACTTTCTAAAAAAAATATCAGCAATGGTATCCCATAATTTCTAAGGCTATTTTGATATATATGAATATTAGTGTAGGGGGGTCAGAATTATTGCAAACAGTTGTAAACAGAAATAATTAAATATATCATCTAGAGTGGTACACTTTGTGCACCATTTCCCAAATCTGTAAATAGTAATCAAAATATACATATATCATCTAGAATGGTACATTTAGTGTGCTACTCCCAAATCTGTAAATAGTTTATGCCTATTGTATTCGTAATTCGTTGTGTGTAAATGTATATTCTGTGAGAAATAATTAATTAAAAATATATATGCACCTAATTACACAAACGTTGTCCAAGAAAAAAGAACTTTTAATATTTAGGAATGAATTAAAATACAAAAGAAAGTGTTCGGCTTCAGTGGTCATGTTTTGTCTTTTAATGTATTTCTAATTTCCTAAATCCCTAAATCTCAGGACAACGTTTTTGTAATTAGGTGTATATATAAAATGATTTAAGAATACTTTACTTATGTATATTTTTTCTCCTATTTTCAGGATGACCTATAACACCATGGTAGGACTATAATAGATAGTACAATTAAAGGTGTTTGCATAACGTCATTTTCACTCTTGCTATCTACCTACTTTCCACTACATCACTTTGACGTGCAAACATTCGTCAAACGCGCCTTGCCTATTCGCTTGGATGCACTTTTAGTTGGGTTTCCTGTGTTTTTATATAGTCGAGTAACACTGGGGACTAGTGGGGCGATCACCCAATGCAGGAATCCTTAGAACACAAAGGCAAAACAAAATCCAAACTAGATATCTTGAGTTTGGTGCCGTAAGAGGGTATTAAAGGTTCTGCTGATAGTTTAGGGGCCTCTTATAGTAAAACGTTTGGTATCTAGATCGATTATCAGTTTGTCGGTCGGGCTTCCTTTGTAATACCACAGGAAGCTCAATTCTAAAACGAATCTTCTACCGGATTGTTTTATTTTTTCATTGCGGTTAAACGAGCATTTTCTTCAAATAACAATGATAATATGATATTTTAATTAAGGATCCCAGGTTTCCTTGTCAAATGTTAGTCGAAAAGTGGTGTTTTTTGAATTTGTGTTCTTATAATTATTAGTGTCAATGTTCACGAAAAAAAAAACTCAATCACGAAATTCATTCAATCATGAAAGCCTTGTTCACGCAAGAAACGCACGTGAAAACTCAGAACAAGAAAATTAAACTGTATTCGCACTTGAATTAAATTTCGGCAAAGTGCGCGTTTGTTCACACAATGCCGGGAAGCTCTTCAAATAGACCTTTGAATCTTTTACGTCATATACAGTATTCGCAATGCATTGTAGGATATGTTTGGGACAAAGCATGGCGGATTTCTTTTGTTTTGTCAGAAAACGATACCACAAGACATTGCAAATCAAGTAGTGACGTAAAAGGTTCAAAAGTTGTGTTTTCACGCGTTGAGAACATAGCAGACGCAAGTCCAAGTAAAGAGAAAGAAATTGAAATTCTCATTTCTTGTGTTTGCGTTTTTGCTGTTTTGTTGAGTTTTGCAAATTGTTTTACATGTGTGAACAGGACTCTAATGCTCCTCATGTACCAAGCTCAGCTTCTGTCGGAGGCTAAAATCCAAATTTATGTTAGTTTTTGCGATATTGGACGAGTTTTCAGGGAATTTGGGGATGTATATATTATATTAGTAATGATGTTTGCAGAACCTATTTTTACTCTTAGTAATCTAATTATTTTCCGCTTACAAAGCGATGTTGTATGTTTTTTACAGTTTAAGAATTGTCTTGTAGGTTTCTATTCGTATGCACTAATTGATAAAAATTAACTGTCAAAATTAATCCTCGCATGCTCATTGAGCCAATTCTTGAACTGTAAGTCTTTTTACTATTCAAATGCCAACAATTTGTTACTTGCTTTATTTTATACAGCTATTTCAATTGACTTTTCCAATGGAAATGATCCATCTTAATATTCTCCTTCATGGTGTCCGACGCCATCTTGAAAGGTAACCCTGCCTTTACATCGGCCAGTGAGATTGATTGATAATAGATACCCTAAGTTTTTAGTTGTGATATCGCATGCATTTCTAAATGAAGTTATACAGTTATCTCACTTCGATGAAAAGGAGCAGTTACCTTTACATGGCGCAGGGAAACACGAAGGGGTCAATATACTTTGCTCTGGCAATTACGTCAAATCGGAAAATTAACGAATGAATGTTCTCGATAGCCTTTGTTTCCAATTCGTCGCCATTTATATTATTTTTAGAATCAAGTCATTGATGAACCATGAGATGGCTAGAGGGCACAAAATATTAGGAAGACGTTTAAACTCGTTCGCTTTGAGTTAGCTATCATTTTATGTCATAAATTTAAGGGGAAAAACATAAAAAAAATGGATTTTTCGAAAAGAATCTTACTAGTAAAGCATTGATTTCTCAGAAAAAAAAGTTTCTACTAAATAACAGAAATAAGATTTGTCCCCTGAGCGTCACACAATTTCTTCATAATTTAAAATGGCAGCCATATTATTGATAAGCGTTGTTCACGTGTGTTGTGCCTTGATCCCACATTGCATTTCGTGCTAAGATGGACCATTTCCAGGAAATAAAGTTTCTCAGTAAAATAGGTACATGAACCGGTTCATTGACAGAAATCGTTTGCCTTGCGATTCTTAGTATGAATCTTGCGTATATCGTCTTCTCCGTTCTTGACAATCATAAGAAATTTCTTAGAAAAGCAACATTCTTTCTTATGTAGATTTATTTGGGCTCGCTCCATATGGGGAAATATAAATTTTCGCTCGTATTCCTTGCTTTTCTGTACTTTTTGAGCTCTTTGCATCACATTATTGATTCCGAATTCATATACAGCTGCTTTAAAAGGTGTTGTTGGAGATTTGAAAATGCAGGACCGAAAGGTACTGTGGGTATTGATTATTAATTATGCTATTTACCAATCAAAAGTTATGTAGTAATAAAGTGGATAATGTACACCGAAAATTTAGAAAAAAACGTGTAGAATAAAGAGTTTTACGGTTTAGGTAAAATGGTATTTGAAGGACCATTTTCAACCGACATTCAATGCGCTAGTGTTTTCACAATCCGTTTCTATTCGCCTTGCTTTTAAGATCGAGTCGTACAATATCTCCATCCAGAGCTCATTCTCGACATCGTTCCTTTTTGCATCACATTTTGACACTATCTGTGTATTTATTAAAGTACAGAATTGTAAGCTAGTTTTATTTCCAAACGTAAAATCTCGCAAGGAATGCCGGTTGGATGAGTGAATACCCATAATTCCTGTCGGTCGTGTATTCAGTGTTCTCTCTAGCATCCCTTTTGAAAGAGATATATCTTCTATTCTCGTTTTTTGCGTCTATAGGTTTTTATTGCAAGTCAATAGTTCTTTTGAAAATATATTTGAAAAAAATATTAACAAAATAAATAAATGAATAAAAAAAGCAACAGCAGCAACTTCGATTGGCAACCTCGTTCCCAGGCCCTTGTGCCTTCGCCTCGGAACTATGTTGTTTCGAATTGCGGAAATGAAACAAATTATGTAAGTAAGCGAAGATGTTTAAATGTAGTCTCCTCAACAGGCATCACTAAGAATCAAGGACTTCCTGTCTGTTTTGTGAGTCAAAAGAGGGAGAGTGGGGGCGATAGAGGGAAGGCGTCACCAGTCCCTGGGTCCTGGCCAAGATGAACTTTACAAAGGAAGCCCAAAGGAGGAAAAAAGAGTTGCCTGGGGATGAGGCTACAAGTTTTTATGGTGGTCATTGGAGATTAGAAACATTTTACGCGAATCATTTTATTCGGTTCTTTTTGTACAAAAAAAGTTAAATTCCTGCTAAAGTTGTCTTTCGTATGACGGTGAAAGATAGTTTACGTCATAGCCACGTCCACACTGTATTTGGTGAATCTGCAATGTTTTTTGTGGATTCATCTTCGTAACACGCACTCGGTGAAACTGCCAATCAAACTTCCAAATTCAAACTTCCAAATTCGGAGCTTTTGAAAGCGCAGTATGGCTGTTATATTAAATTATAATAGGTATTGTGAACGATGCTTTTTTCTCGATCTGGTAAATGTAATCCTCGCGTCTTTTTTTGTGTTCGTGTGTATTAGTAGTATAATCACAGTATGTTTTTGTGTTTTTATTCCAAAGATGCAAGTAGTTTTGCAATTTTTGGGGGATTTTTTTCGCACGTAAAAAAATGCGAGGATTTCAGTGACCGTTGTTGCTTTGATTAGTAGAGAATTGTATCGCCTCGCATTGCCAGTTAGAAACGTAATGATATCGAAGCTGCCGAATCCCGGTCGTATCCGATTACGTATGGACAAAATTGAGCGACCAAACTGGGTTTGCCGGAAAACTGTTGAATTTGTATTCAAAAGTAAAATGTGTTTAAGTGTNTAAATTTACATTGCTTAGATTATCCTTGGTTTCCATATTTTCCAATATGTTTCCTTTGAGAGAATTCCACATTAAATATCAAAAGAAAGGCCATTACGGCCGCCATCTTGATTTCTCTTTTTTTACATGTAAGAAACTATGGGATGTCCAGGAGGCACCAAACGATATATTTATAAACGATAGTGCTTTTAGAATACTATGAGATTGAATGTTATATCAACAAAAACTGAAAACAATTAGAAAAATAGCATATTTGGATGTTATATAATAAAGCAATAATTTAAGTTTTGAAGCTCGGACATTGTCGAAGATAGTAATTTTTTGGTGCCATTCTATATTATAACAATTTGTGCCCATGATTTTTTATTTAAAATTTAACAAAATTCAAGATGGCGGACGTATTAGTAAAAAAGGTCTTTTGAAAGACATAAGGAGGACTTCCATATCAAACTATTGCTTCAAGTTTTTTTCCACACGTTTTAATGCTTTAAAATGGCTAAAACTTACAGAATTTGCAGAGAAATTGCTTTCCAACATGTCGGATATTATAAATTTGTCCAGGTCTCGTCCCACTCCAACCTCGTTCCCAGGGTCTTCTCTATTCGCAAAATGGCAAACACAGGTAGCCCGCGCGAATGTCAGACAATTGTTTGATATGCTGTCACCTTGATCTGTATTCTTTGGTCGATATTATAACGGGAGCCAAAGATACTTTTTGTCCTGTTATTTCGTACAATCCTGCACGTCTGTTACGCTGAAAACATATGTTATTGCTTGATTGAAGTTAAGACCCATGTTACGAATTGAGACCATCTAACCAAGCTATTGTTTCAAAATCACTAAATATTCGTCCCACACACCCAATGCTCCTCTGAAAAGCCGCAGAGAAAAATGTAGGTTAAAAAAACTAATGACTGTCCACCATTTTTGAAGTCTTAAAAAAGAGGCTTTAAAAAATACATATATAATATTTATAATTGCATGTATTATTATTCAAATAACTTTCATGCAGGTAAATTTAAGATTGGAATCATACATTGCAAGACAGCATGGACCTCAAACACACAAAGTTTGTCTTTCATGCGATAAATGTCGCAGTTCTTTTGGTAAGTACTATTTATAAACGGTATTGATGATCATCCGAACTTCAGTTAAGGGCCGTCAATAAAGGACATCTTTATAGTAAACCGCATCTATCCGAATCAACTTTTAGGGAATATTCCATTTTCGAATTCAAAGGGAATAACCGCTGTTTTATTTGACAGCAGATTCTCTGTCTACCGCAAAGGACTTACCATAAACACAAAAGAATGCACGAGAAAATGTTGTTATTACAATAGCGCTAACAATTTACATTTTCCACGAGTAGAGGATGACCCTATATCACAGAAGGCTCATACCTTAGGTCTAATAGGAACACAGGGTTAGTCTCTACTCGGGGAAAATGCGAAGTGGTAATAACGACATTTTCTCGGCTCTCTTTTCTGTTCGGTCAGGTCTTTGCGCAAGAGAATCCGTAAAACTGAAGTCAAACTGAAGTGACCCTTTTTAGAGCGGATTTCGTATGACTGTGCAAACAACACGGTACTTTCGTGCTGTGTCCGTACCGTGCCGTAGCGGTCATCTATTGTTAAATCTTTATTTTTATTTGGAATCCCTAGAAGGCGAGGTTCCGTGAACGTGCCGTGCTGTGATCCGTGCCGTTGCACAGTCATACGAAATCCGCTCTAAAAGCCCTATGAATGGCGATATTGTAATATTCGATCTCAAAACCGACGGATGTGAACGGATTGCGATGGATATTTAGTGCATCCTCATTTCCCATACATGGAAAATCTAGAGCGCACCCGCATTGAATGCCGGTTGTACAGAGCCCTTGTCTACTTGGTATGTTATACAGGTGGATCAATAGTTGACTTTGTTGATTGTCTTCATGTCTTCACAACTGAACAACGTTAATGAGATTGACTATATGCTTTGTTTTAATTGCAATGTCGATAAGAATGTATTGTTCATATTTTAGGTATTGTTCGTACCCTGTGTATTGTCTTCAGGTAAGGCTTGCATTTTGCATCTTCTGTTTTTGTCTCATCACTGAGCATTTATAATTGGAAAACGTGAGAAATATTAAAATTAATTATTAAAAGACTAACGGTTATGCAAAGCGGTATGCAAACGCAAGGCGTAATTAAGGCAACCAAACCTCGGCACCCGTCACACTGCAGTAAGCAGTGGGGAAATCATAATTACTATCTGTCCTCAGACGAAGGGCGGGTGCGGCAATACCGCAAAGCTAAAAGCAATAGCAATATGGCGAGGAAGACTACGCAACGGGTCGGGACGACGCATGCGTAGGATAACTGCTGACCGGAGAAAACAACGCTTCAAGTTAACTTAAGTATACTTAAAGATACGTGAAGCCATTTTGGTTCATGTTGATAAACAAATTTAAAAACTTTGTTTTAAAAGAATCTTATTTCCTGCCATTAATAAAAATAGACAAATAAGCGATTTGCACACTGACGTCACATACTACCAAGACCAGAATGCTTTGCCCATTTCTTTTTGTTATATAATTGGTCCTAACAGAATACCTTTCTTATTCAGAGCATGATGGTAGTTGTAGGCCTCATAATTATCACAAAACCTCAAATATCTCGTTCAAATATTTTTGTTACGTTTTCTTTGTAGAAACAGCAATACAACATCTATTTTGGCTTAGAAAAAGGTGAAACAGTACAAATGTTTTAGTGGACGTGAAAAATACGAGGACTAAAACTACCATAATGCTTTGCTTCACAAAGTTGCGTCGCTTCACAATGCTATTGGGACTAATTACATTACAAAAGAAGTGGGCAAAGCATTTTGGTCTTGGTAGTGTGTGACACCTTCATAAAAACGACTAGAGTGTTAGAATTAAACATTATAACGTTCTTATTCTTCTATTTAATAGGGACAAGGGTCGGATAATCCCGCAAAGTTATAATTATCCATGTGTAATTAGAATTTAGTTACTGCGCGCACACATTACCTAACATCTTCTCGGAGCGCGCGCTCATTGTTTTTATGCTGTTTTGTAAACTGTAACGTTTTTCATCAGTCTTGATAATGGCTCGATGAGCCGAAAGCTCGCCTAAGTAAATAATGTGTATTGTTTTGATACGTTTTGACATTATCAACTATATTAATACCGCAGAGTGTCGGACGTCATACAGACAGTATGTATCGTTATATTCAAGTAGCAGACACACTTCTAGCTGTCAGGCTAAGGAAGCATATCTTAACAATGAAGAGACCTATTGCAAGGGATGGTGTGTTCTTCGCAGTGATGACGACTGGCTGCAGGTTAAGTTTAAAGGAGATGTGCTCATTACAAAAATCTCAACAAAGGGATCTGGGAAGTATGGCGGCAATGTGAAAAGCTATTATTTGTCGTTTAGTGTCGATGAGACCGATTGGTGGGACTACATGATTGATGGTCAACTTAAGGTAAGTCAGTTCACATTTAGTTAATATAGGAGAGAGTCAACGGTCAAACATTTATGTCGGCATTTTGCGTCCCTCTTTCTTGGGGAATTTTTAAAGATGCCTGACCTAGTAATTCACGAATTTTCATACTCAAGGTTCAGTGACCACGAACAAAGTATTGAACCGAGGCGTCAAGGTATAGTAAGCATAAAAGAAATGACCTATAATCAGTGTTCCTTGATGCTTTGTTCGTGGGCAATGAACCTGAGTATGAAAAGTCTTGGATACCCCATTTTCGACTTCAAAGCGAATGACCTTGTTTTATTTAACAGCAGATTAGTTTCCAATTCACTAGGTTTTCTTTGTTATTCATAGGGTTGTATATACCATAGAAACTTAAAGCCGGGGAGGGATTTRRTRWTCAVYAGGGAAATGTGGGGTTGATGAATTGAATTGAATAGCTCGTTATAAATTCAGCGGGCTATATTTGAGTGACCGGGATCACTCATATATAGCCCGCTGAATTTATAACGAGTTATTCAGTTCAATTCATCAACCCCACATTTCCCTGCTGAATATCAAATAAACTAAGTAAACTAAACTATTTTTCCCCTAAAAAGACCAGTGCGGCCAGAAAAACTTGAGGAGATTTAGAGTGTAATAAGTTCGAGTCCCGCAGCTTTTCTTCATATGTTCATCAGAGAATAGAGACAACAATAACCAAGATCTTCGTTACTTTTGAAACTATAATCTATTCTTCGGAATTAACCAACGTRTATGAATCAGAAGTAATCGGTGTGACTCGTATTTCTCCGCTCCTCGGTCCATTCTATCCAAGCCGGCACGTACACACGGCCATTTGGTACTTTAGTTTGTTCCTTCTTGAATCCTTCTCGCGTATTTTTTCGAGCGAGTTCAACATCAAAAACTATTGTAATTTTTCTCATTTTTCCCATCTGCAGACTTTGTCATCGTTATTTGCGGGCAGAGGCATGCGGAGTTCCAAGTCTGATAGCAAATCGTCAAAATCAAAGTTCGGCGGCAAAGGAATGATGTCAAACGTATTTTGAGCTATAAACAAATCGTCACTGTTCGACATCGTTTCCAGAATGACTGTTCAGAATATTTGATAACAATATTCAAATTCCGATTGCTAGCTTTCGCATGAACAGGTTTTCTTAAAGGAAACTAATTTCAATAGTCCATGAAAAAGTCGACTCAAGAGAAGAGGATTCTATTGTTCGAATCCCAACTAAGAAAACATTCATTTAGACTATTCAGTTTTTGCGAAAACCACGTGAATTGAAAACTAAGTTTGTTAGTTACCTCGCACGTCGGCATTACGCTATATGCGGCCCTCGGGCTGTATATAGCGTAATGCCTCCGTTCTCGGTAACTAACTCTTACTTATTTTACGCATAGAACTCACCAAACACAAAAGAAAGCACGAGAAAATGTTTTTGGTACAATAGTGCTAACAATTTACATTCTACCCGAGCTGACCCTAACCCTGTATTCCCAGAAGGCTCATACCTTATAGGTCTTATGGGAATGCAGGGCTAGCCTCAAGTCAGGTAAAATGAACATTTTCAAGACTATTGTTATAACGACGTTTTCTTGTGCTTTCTTTTGTGTTTAGTCAGGTCTTTGCGCAAGAGAATCAGTTGTCAAATAAAGCAGTGCTTTTGCTATGGATAGACCTTATCGACTAATGGCGTTGCTATGTACGTTGCCATCCAATTCAAATCCTGTGGGAAAAAGAACTTTTGTTTCTAAGAATTCAACCGTGAAAGGAAAATACAACCAACAAGGAAACTTACTCCCGGGTGGTTTAAATTGGGTTGTAGCCGATTAGCTCTATTTCAAGCTGCAGGAGTATCCCGTATTTCTTTGACTTTTGACTGTTATTATTTTAGGTTTTCAATGGAAATATGGGAGACAGAAACACTGCTGTACAACATGACCTTGTTGTACCAGTTCGTGCGACGTTCATCCGTTTTAATCCGATCGACTCTTTAGGAAAGTATACGTGCCTTCGAGTTGCTGTCTGGGGATGCTCTGGTAAGTCTCTACGCAAGTTTAAAAATGAGTTTGTAAATTATATAGAGGATATCACATGGGCTCGCGGAGATACGAATTTTATCTTCGAGTGTTGAAAAGCGAACGAGTGAGAGATTCTCAACACGAGAAGATAAAATTTGTATCTCCAAGCGAACATGTAATATTCTGTTTATCATATAATTTTATATGAAAGGAATTTTTTTTCGTAAGTACCTGTTTTTTACTTCCACCTTTTTTTTACTTCCACTATATAGAGAAACCTCGAATGTGTTATTTTCACTAGTGAAAATAACAAGTTTACAAAATGGAGAAATATAGGTATTTTTATAGATACAGCCTTTTGCAATAATTATGAGAATTGTTGAAATATCTAAATATCATAATACCAAGTGCATGATCCCGCGCGATGCCCTTAGCCCCTTGTCTTTGTAGTTTAGTTTTTTTTGGCGACAGACTTATCCGTAGTTTTGAACATTTTCTCGATGTCAACAATGAATTATTCTAGCAAACCCGCGTGTTCCGGACAATATGTGGATATGGATATTATGATATTTAGATATTTAGATAATTCTCATAATTTTGCAAAAGGCTAAAATTATATGATAAAAAGAAATAAGAAATGCATATTATCTTTGTCGACCTAGACTAGCTGGACAACAAGTCAGCCCACCCATCGTGCCTCTTTCTGTTATAATACAGGCGTGCAATACGCTTTTTTTTCCCCATTCAAAGACAGTGAGCGCTGTTTTAGTTGACAACAGTCTCTGGTAGAAATACCTTTCCCAAAACAAATGAAAGCACGAATCTCCATTTTCTCCTGTTTTAGGCTTAGCCTAAAGAAGGCGTATACTGTAAGTCTTTTGGAAATACAGGCTTAGCCTCAAATCGGAGAAAATGCAAATTTATAGGGCCATTTGTTCTGGTAAGGTCTCCGCCCAAGTGAATCTGTTGTCTACTAGAACAGCGGTTGCTCGCATTGAACGGGGAAAAGGCTTATTCCTTATTTCTTTCTTTTCTCTCAGCTTGTGGGGAACCTTTGGGAATAGAAGATGGTCGAGTTCCTGATTCAGCCATGACGAGCACTAAGCCCTCTTTAGATACATTCGAGCCTTACAGGGCCCGTCTTAATCAGAACCTCGGCAATGGCTCGTGGTGCTCAAAAAAAATCGACATTGAGGATCATTTGCGCATAGACCTTGGACAGGAGTATATCATTAACAAGATTGCAACAGAAGGAGGGCCTTTCTCGATTAAAAAAGTGTTCGTTAACAAAACTGCCCCGTGCAAGTAAGTAGAGTGGCTTTTCTCAGTTCAATAGGTCCGTTCAATAGGAATTACCTGCATGAATACGTTCCCGAAAACATATTGGAGCAAAACAATGTGCCATCAAACCTCTATTGAGCGGTCAACTTGAGGGTAGACCAGGTGACCGCTTAACAGAGGTGTACCGTTTTACAAAGGTCACATTTGCAGTAGTACTACATGGAATTCATGACTGACCGCTTAATAGAGGTTGACCGCTAAATCCTCTGTTGCAAGTTGAAAAAAAAAGTTGTTGCGCATTGCTTTGTGTGTGTTTTTTTTTGTTTTTCTTTTTTTACCCAAGAAAGACTTATTCCTGATAAACTGATGTACAAAAAGTATTTACAAGTTCTTCGAAATTTGCAGGTGTCGCTGAAAATCCAAATATATCTAAACTATTTTCAGAAAACGCTACAATCTGCATTTCCACGCGAACATGTAATATACTCTATTTGTTTTGCTCTCTATTCCGGTGTGGTTTTATTCTATTTCATGGCATAGTACAGCCTTTTGCACAAATTATAAGACATTTTTATATATATAAATATACCTAACCAAATATCAAAAACACCCTAGAAATTATGGTATATCTCTATTATATTTTGTCATGATTGCCTAGCATCAGGTTGTTACAGACAAAATATCAGCGACGGTATCCCATAATTTCTTGGGTGTTTTTGATATTTGGTTAGGTATATTTATATATATAAAATGTCTCATAATTTGTGCAAAAGGCTGTATATACTAGTATATTTTTTATCATATAATTATCTATGAAATACCTATATTTTGCTCTTTCGAAAATTTGTTATTTTCACAATTGAAGAAGAGATACGAATTTTATTTTCTCGTGTTGAAAATCCCTCTCTCGTTCGAGTGGATCTTTTTAACACTCGAAGAAAAAATCCATATATCCACGCGCGCTCCCATGTAACATGCTCTATTTCAGATGTTATTTCTTAACTGTATATTTTATTTCAGTTCAACAGATCCTAATTTAAGGAATATTACTGGCCCAAATAATACAGTGAGTTATCCGTATTCTGTACATTTATTTTTATTCTTGCTGTTGACACTATTGAGTGGTTATTGATAAATGCTCCAGTTTCGAATTCATAGCGAATAACCGCTGCTTTATTTGACAACAGATTCTCTTGCGCAAAGATCTTACCAAACAAAAAAGAGAGCACGAGAAAATGTCGTTATTACAATAGACTTGAAAATTTGTATTTTCCCCGAGTTGAGATTATCCCTGTATTCCCATAAGATCTAAGGTATGAGCAGGGTTAGCCTCAACACGGGGAAAATGTAGATTCTTAGCGCTCTATTGTATTAACAACATTTTCTCGTGCTTTCTTTTGTCTTTGGTAAGTTCTTTTTGTAATAGAATCCGCTGTCAAGTAAAACAGCGGTTATTCGCTTTGAACTCGAAACTGGAGTATTAAGAAAGAAACAAAGAAAGAAAGAAATAGGATTATACAGACTATGTAACTAATGTTTCACGGACAGAGTCGTCAAGCGTGGTGCCGGCTGCATGAAGGGTCGATAAAGCTATCACCGATTAAAGCTTTCCATGAATTAAGTATGGCTTTATCCACTGGATAACGATTTTAATTCCGGTTGATTGTTTTTCCGGTTGTCTGTATTTTTTTCATCAATTCATCAATTCGGTCATTCTAGTATTACAACGATGTTTTTGCATTTCAAAGGTCATAAGTTGTTATGTTCCTGAATTGGTGAGCAAGGGAGCCTGGGTAGAGAAATACATGATTGACTATAGCCTGGACGGTGTTGTTTGGAGATCGTATGGCAGCTATGGCTACAAAAACCGGGTACGATGGATACTCCCTACATCTAGAAAATGACAGTATATCAACTGGTTTATTGGTTAGTCGGTTAGCCAATCGGTCGATTGGTACTTTGGTTTGGTTTGTTGGTCGTTCGTTCGTTCGTTCCAATTTGGCTTGGCTTAGTTGATAGTTGGTTGGTTGGTGGTTTAGTTTGGTTTGGTCGGTCGGTCGTTTTGGTTGTTTGGTTGGTTGGTTAGTTGGTTGGTTGCTTGGTTGATTACTTGGTTGGTTGCTTGGTTGGTGGTTTGGTTGCTTGGATGCTTGGTCGATGGGTAGGTTGGTTGGTTGGTTGGTGGTTTGGTTGATTGGTTGGTGGAGAGGTTGATTTGGTTGCTTGGTTGGTTGCTTGTTTGGTGATTTGGTTGCTTGGCTGCTTGGTTGGTGGGTAGGTTGGTTGGTTGCTTGGTTGGTGGTTTGGTTGATTGGTTGGTGGAGAGGTTGATTTGGTTGCTTGGTTG